CATAATCTGAGCCACAGTCAGCTCCAGGTCTTGTTTTGACTGACTGTATGGAGCTTCTCAGTATTCATTTGGAATACTGTGTGCAATTCTGGTCACCACACCTCAAAAAGGATATTATAGCATTGGAAAAAGTGCAGAAAAGGGCAACTAGAATGATAAAAGGGTTGGATCACTTTCCTTGTGGAGAAAGGTTAAAGCGCTTGGGGCTCTTTAGCTTGGAGAAATTACGATTGAGGGGTAACATGATAAAGGTTTACAAGATTATGCATGGGATAGAGCAGGTAAGAACATAAGAACATAAGAACATAAGAGATGCCAATGTTGGATCAGGCCAAAGGCCCATCCAGTCCAACACTCTGTATCACACAGTGGCCAGAAATACCAGTGCCATCAGGAGGTCCACCAGTAGGGCCAGGACATTAGAAGCCCTCCCACTGTTGACCCCCCCAAGCACCAAGATGACAGAGCATCACTTGCCCCAGAGTCCCTATCTATACCTTGTGGCTAATAGCCACTGATGGACCTCTGCTCCATATGCTTATCTAATTCCCTTTTGAAGCCGTCCATGCTTGTAGCCACCACCACTTCCTGTGGCAGTGAATTCCAAGTGTTAATCACTCTTTGGGTGAAGAAGGACGTCCTATCCCCAGCATAGCATTGGCCTTCTTTATTGCAGTCACACACTGTCTCGACATTTTCAGTGAGTTATCTACTACAACTCCAAGATCTCTCTCTTGATCTGTCTCTGCCAGTTCAGACCCCATCAACGTGTATTTATAGTTAGGATTTTTGGCTCCAATGTGCATCACCTTGCACTTGGCCACATTGAACCCCATTTGCCATGTTGACGCCCACTCGCCCAACTTTGACAGATCCCTTTGGAGTGCCTCACAATCCTCACTGGTTTTCACCACCCTGAACAACTTCGTATCATCCGCAAATTTAGCCACTTCACTGCTTACTCCCAACTCCAAATCATTAATGAACAAGTTAAAAAGCAGTGGACCAAGTACTGATCCCTGTGGTACCCCACTGCTTACACCCCTCCACTGGGAGAACTGCCCATTTATACTCACTCTCTGTTTTCTATTAATTAGCCAGTTTTTGATCCATAAAAGGACTTGTCCTTTTATCCCATGATTTTTGAGCTTGCTTAGGAGCCTTTGATGAGGAACTTTATCAAAAGCTTTCTGGAAGTCAAGGTAAACAATATCTATTGGATCCCCCTTGTCCACATGTTTGTTCACCCCCTCAAAGAACATTAACAGGTTAGTGAGACAAGATCTTCCCTTACAGAACCCATGTTGAGTCTGCCTCAATAGGTTTTGTTCATCTATGTGCCTACTAATTCTTTCCTTAATAATGGTTTCCACCAATTTACCCGGTATCGACGTCAGACTGACAGGCCTGTAATTTCCCGGATCTCCTCTGGAACCCTTTTTAAAGATGGGAGTGACATTAGCTACCTTCCAGTCCTCAGGAATGGAGGCTGATTTTAAGGAGAGATTACATATTTTTGTCAGGAGATCCACAAGTTCACAATTGAGTTCTTTCAGAACTCTTGGATGTATGCCATCTGGGCCTGGTGATTTATCAGTTTTTAAGTTGTTTATCAGTTTTAGGACCTCCTCTCTCGTCACCTCAATCTGACTCAGGTCTTTCAACACCCCTCCCGAACTCAGCGGCTCTGGAGTGGGCAAGCACCTCTCATCTTCCACAGTGAAGACGGAGGCAAAAAATGCATTTAGCTTCTCAGCCATTTCCCTATCATCCTTCAGTACTCCTTTTACCCCTTGGTCATCCAAGGGCCCCACTGCCTCCCTGGCTGGTTTCCTGTTTCTAATGTATTTGAAGAAAGTTTTATTGTTGGTCTTTACATTTTTTGCTATATGCTCCTCATATTCCCTTTTTGCATGCCTGACCACAGACTTGCATTTTATTTGCCATAGCCTGTGTTCTGTTTTATCAGCCTCACTGTGACTAGCTTTCCACCGCTTAAAGGAATCCTTTTTACCTTTTACAGCTTCCATTACTTTGTTTGTTAACCATGTAGGCTTTTTCTTATACCTGTTTGTGCCTTTCCTAACCTGCGGAATATATTTTATTTGAGCTTCTAGAATTGTAGTTTTAAACAGTTTCCAAGCTTCCCCAATGGTTTTGACCCTTTCTACTTTTCCCTTCAGTTTCCTCCCCACATGTCCCCTCATATCAGAAAAATTACCCCTTTTAAAGTTAAAAGTGGTTGTGTGAGTCTTTTTGGCCAATTCCCTATTTGTACAAATGTTGAACTCAACAACATTATGATCACTGTTCCCAAGCGGTGCAATCACTTTTACATCTCTCACCAGGTCTTGAGTGTTACTTAGGACCAAATCAAGGATCGCCTCTCCCCTGGTAGGTTCCATGACCATCTGCTCCATAGCGCAGTCATTTAGAGTGTCTAGAAACTCAATCTCTTTCTCTCGACTAGAACACATATTGACCCAATCAATGTGTGGGTAGTTAAAATCACCTATTACGACACAGTGTTTTTGTCTAGCTGCTATCTTTAATTCATTCATCATTTTATAATCCTCCTCTATCTTTTGATCCGGTGGGCGATAACAAACTCCCAGTGTTAAGTTTCCTTTTGGCCCCCCTATTTCAACCCACAGAACTTCAAGAAGCGAATCCAATTCTCTTAGCCTCTCGATCTTTCTGGACTTTATACCCTCTCTGACATACAGAGCCACCCCACCTCCAACCCTTCCCCCCCTATCCTTCCGATATAATATATAACCGGGAATCACCGTATCCCACTGATTTTCCTCATCCCACCAAGTTTCTGAAATACCCACAATGTCTATTTTTCCCTCCGACACCAAGCACTCCAACTCCCCGATTTTACCTCGGACACTTCGAGCATTGGTATAGAAACAGCTGTAATTTCCCATACTGGTTAAGCCTGCCACCTTCCTCTTGCTATCTCGAGACCTTGTCAGGCAGTCCATGTCACTAGCCATGTTCTCAGTGGACAATTTCAATCCACTTCCCTGTAGAAAAGCAACAGGTACCCCCTCATCTCTCTGAGATGAGCCAACCCGAACCAGAGACTTTTTCCCCCCCAATAAGTGTTTTTTATTTTGAACAATATATACAACAGTACATTCATAACATATATCGACGCTATGAAATAATCAACTTTTTCAACCCTTAAGAGCCCTTTTAAAAATATAACAGATCTTTGTAATAAGAGTTGTTTGGAATCGCTTCTTCTTCTGCTAGATAGTTCACCACTGGGAACCAAGTTCTTCAGGTAGAGAAAGAAGTAGTTTTCTCCCTTTCTCACTATGCAAGAACTCGTGGGCACTCAATGAAATTGCTGAGCAGTCGGGTTAGAATGGATAAAAGGAACTACTTCTTCACCCAAAGAGTGATTAACACATGGAATCCACTGCCACAGGAGGTGGTGGCAGCTACAAGCAGGGATGGCTTCAAGAGGAAATTGGATAAACATATGAAGCAGAGGTCCATCAGTGGCTATTAGATACAAGGTATACATAGTAACTCTTGGTGTGGGGCAAGTGATGCTCCGTATTCTTGGTGCTGGGGGGGGGGCAACAGTGGGAGGGCTTCTAGTGTCCTGGCCCCACTGGTGGACCTCCTGATGGTATTTTTGGCCACTGTGTGACAGAGTGTTGGACTGGATGGGCCATTGGCCTGATCCAACATTGGATTCTCTGACATTCTTATGCATATTGTGTGCAGAAGGAATTTCTTTTGTCCTGTGTCTTCTGCCAGTCAGGTATTTTGGGTGTCTCAAAGTTTTAGTGTTATTTGCTGTCTACTTTTTTCATGAAATCTAGGGCTATTGACATTCCCTACCAAATCCATAATATTAGAAATTTGTCATTTCCTCCCTAATACAAAAAAGCTCTGACAGCATCAGCATTTCCCCCATATAGCAATCAATTAACAAGTTACACCAAGAGGATGTAGTAAGGTAGGCTTGATTGTAACCAAGACTTTGAATTCAGAATATGTTGAGTTTAGCTCCCTAACCCAGCATGTCAGTAATGTCAAAGAAATACTAGGTTTACTGTTATTTCCTTTTACAGAAAAAAAAAAGTTCCCTTTGTACTTTGAGCTCTCACCTACTTTATTCCCGTTGTGCTTCTGCCTACTTCGGTTGTTTAGATCCTTCACAGGCCAGCTATTCAGCACTTCTCACACAACAGTGGATCCGAAAGAGATGAAGAAATTCCAGCTCTTGGCACACAAATGGTGGGATGAGCAAGGAGAATATTCAGCCCTTCATTCCATGAATGATATTAGAGTTCCATTTATTCGGTAACATTTTGGAATCTTATCAGTTTTTACCATTTCCCCCCCAGAAATCTAAAAATAGGCTGAAGCAAAAATTTAAAAAGCAGTTAACCATAATTGGGCTATAATTTTACAAACAAGTACTGCTTGAGTTGATCAGTGGAAACCTGTTTTGATCAGTGGCACTGCAAGTTACTTATTGGCTTTGGTGGTTGTATTGGCTCTGGTGCAACAAGGAATGTGAAACAGGGATTGTCTTCCTGCCTAACAACAATTAGTCATTTGTGCTTGGTAAGCTCTTGAAATTTGTTCAGTTTTTCTTAAAGAAACGTCAGTTTACTAATAAGCCCATTATTAGTTAACTGCCCTAATTAAGTTTAATGAAAGCATTTTTTTTTTGCATTTTGTGTAAGAGATATTGTTCTCAATATGAGAAATGATTGTCCTCTGGGAAGCCCTCTGTCTGGCATGAAGATCCTGGATATTGGTTGTGGTGGCGGACTGTTGACTGAGGTAAAGATTACCATTTTGATGATGAATTCTGTTTCTAAACTTCATTTGAATTAAACCCTAGTGTTAAGAATAATGTTTATTCTCCCATGACCTCGCATAACAATATTCTTTTATTGGTAGTTTCAAGATTATTGTATTTAATAGTCCCAAAAATTACTCTGGGAAGAATGCTCTTTAACTGTTTTTAGGATATTAAACCACTGCAACTGAAAATATTTATTTGGGGGGGGGCTAAAATTTTAGATGGGGGCATACTTTGTGTGGAGATTCTCTGTTCCACTAGTTTTATTGAGCCTGGTTTGTTTGTTTCAGGGCAAACTTTCATTAGTAAATTGTTATAATTTTAATTGGGGAAATCTTAAATGAACATGCACTGTAAACTGTATTGGGTAGAAATTAAAAACACGTGGTTTGACTTAAAAAAAATATTCATGAAATCAGGCAAGATTATCTCAGAAACAAGGACCTGTGCTGCCAAATAAGTGATAAGACTACAGATGACAAATGTACTGTGCTTTTTGTAGATCACATTTTCTTATAACTAATGTACTAAGCACAGGATGCTGAATATTGTTTTTGTGTCTTTTCTCCTAAAATCAATCTGAAAAGAGAAGTTTCACAGTAAAAATTGTGAAATCAGTGGTGACGCTTTAGGTTGGGTGAGTGAAGTTTGCCTTGAGTTGTTTGTTCGCTTCAGCTAAACTTCTGGTTGGTTGAAGTGAAAATGACTTTCACTCATACAGCAAGGAATCACATCTTTGTGGTGCTTAGCCCCTAGGTAGGTTGGGAGCTTCAGTTACTGGCATTGATCCTTTGGAAGACAACATCAGAACAGCGGAACTGCATAAATCATTTGACCCGGTTCTAGCCAAGAGAATACAGTATATATCCTGTTCACTAGAAGATCTTGTGGAAGAGACTTCGGAAACCTTTGACATCATTATAGCTTCTGAAGTAGTAGAACATGTGGCTGATGTGGAAATGTTTCTCAGGTGCTGCAGTGAAGTGTTAAAGGTGAGTTCCTAAGAAAACAGCTTTAAAGTTAAAAAGATCAAATGTACTGACATATTTCCATGCACACAGTTTCTCCAACAGAATGGCATTTCTGTTTGTGAAAGAGGAGCTTGTGATTCCCATAGATTCCCTCCTCCCGTTGTAGACACCCAGTCAGCCCACTGCTGTTCCTGAGGGTCTTCTGTAGACTACATCAGAAGGGAAAAGCAGAAAAATCACACTCTACAAAGTCCATGGATGGTTGGATACATTGGACAATCAGGCTGCTTGTTGTAGAAACATGAACTATTTTCTATTTTGCTATTACTGTGTTCACAGGGTAAAATGCTGAGTCATCATCCGCTCAGGTCCTAATTATCCAAAATTTAAAAAAACTGTCATGGATCCTTCATAGCTTGCTGATTGACTGAATGGCTCTTATCATACTAATAAATCAATATGTGCATTTTTAAATGCAGGAAATGTTGGACCAGAAATGGATAAATGGTAGTAGGTTTAGGTTGAGTGTTTGACAGTAATTTTTTTTTAAAAAAAACAGCAGTTGGTCAATTGACCAGTCAAATACTAGCAAATAGTAAAGTATGTTAAAAGTGTTGAACTTCATTAGAACAACGAAGTAATGCAGTCATCAACAATTTGATGGTTATACTATTTACAGAAATGAAGTGATTTAACTGTTGTTGTTTCAACAATGAAATTAATTTCTAAAATAATATAGGAAGCGGTAGTGATTTCTTATGTTCCCATTGGACGATGCCTGCAATGGCAGCAGGTGGCAAATAAGCGGCCATCGCTTTCCTATGTGGCTAGGTTTTCCCCTGAGTGCAGCAAACTAGGGGGCAAGCAGTCCTTGTTCCTGCCCTTTCATCACAATGAAATAAAAAGATAAACTGCCATTTATACAGTGGCATTCTTGTCTTAATAAAACATTTTACAATATTTGTCTGTGGTAAAATATGCGGTTATCAGTTAACTGAGGTATGCCAAATGTTTAATGATATAATGGAAATAGAGTGGATAAATGCAAAAATATTTTTGATCTCAAGTGCTTAGGGCAGGTAATAATAATAATAATAATAATAATAATTTGATTTATTAATCGCTCAATCCTTGCAGAGCTGCTGGCTCTGAGCGATTTACAGTTACTCATGTATTTACAAGGGACTAACAATGATAGGGGTAAGGGAGGACAACATATATCTTTAAATCACACACATTTCGCAGCCGACGGGGAGTTTATACAGCTGTAAGCTTCAGGCGTGTTCCAATGGCATTCTCCCTCGGCGTGGCTTGATGTCGTCAGCTTTCTCAGTTACAGTGCAACACTGCCACCGCCTGGCCAGAATGGCCCATTACAGGCCATGATGCCGAATAGATCTCTCTAGGCTTTTGATCTCACGCGCTGGACCTTCCGTTCGTCGGCTAACGCCTCCCCCACCGGGGGGGTTAGTGTGCCCATCTTCTCTAAGGAGTGGTACCCATTTTATCTACTCGCCGAAGCTTTCGAATCGCTGGGTGGGCGGCAAGCTGGGGACAAGGCTTGGTAGCTCACACCAGCGCGGGGCTAGAACTGACAGCAGTCCTGTTCAGCTCAGATGTTTAACCAGAGGACATGTAGCAATGAATTATCATTAAAAAAAACCCATATTAAATTACATACATTTTAAACCTGCAAAAACATTGTCCTTTGTCACCTTGTTCCTGAACCAATGTGAATTAAAAGATCTAAATGTCTCCCCAAATAAGCCTTGGATTTTGGAGAGTCCCCAGAGAATGGGAATTCCAGAGTTGCTAGGCAGCTATCAATAACATCTCTCTGATGGAAGTGATAATGGCTTTTCTGGGCGAGGAGGAAGGGTCAATGGACTCAGACTTTGATTTGATTTATAGAGTGAACTCCAGAATTGCAGAAAAGAAGAATTTACCAAGGGATGTAATTGTACAATTTGTAACAAGATCAACAACAGAGGAGATATTCAAGAAGCAATTCACCGTCCCTTTTGAAATAGATAATGGTGACGAGAGAGCTCCCAAGAACAATACTGCAAGACAGGAAAAGGTATAAATCCTTGGCGAACAAACTCAGAGCTTTGAGCATCAGATACAGATGGGAGATTCCACAAGGTTTATCCTTTACGTATCAAGGTGGGAGGATTCAGATCAGATCGATGATGGACTTTTATAAATTTAAGGCGGACAATGCGGACGTCTTTGGAGAACTTTAAAATAAAACGCATAATGGAGTACAAATTGTTGTCATGGAATGTTAATGGATTAAATTCACCAAACAAGAGGAAAAGAATCAATCATTGGATACAGAAACAGAAATGCAACGTGATATGCTTGCAAGAAACACATATTAGAAAACAGGATATAAAATATTTAAAGAATGCTTTATTTGGAATTGAATTTTGTTCTGCGGCCTCAAACAAGAAAAAAGGAGTTGTGACATATGTGAAGAAGGAGTTACAACCTACAGAAATTTTTAAGGACATAGATGGCAGATACGTGGGTGTGGAATTAATGATTCAGCAGAAAAAAACATTGTTGATCAACGTGTACGCACCCAATGGAGCAAAGGAAAAATTTTTTAAGGATATAACTGACCAATTACAACAATTGACTTATGAGCAAGTTATTATGGCCGGAGACTTTAATGGGACAATAGATCGTGTAGACAGAAAACCACAAAAGGACAACGAATTCAGCGGAAAACTGCCAAAGAATTTTTTTGAATTAGTTAAGCAAGAAAAATTAGAAGATGTTTGGAGGAAATGGAACCCGATGCAGAAAGACTTTACTTTTTATTCCAATAGACATTGCTCTTTTTCCAGAATTGATATGATTTGGATGTCTGAAGAATTATCAATGAAAACACATAAGACTGAAATTTTGCCAAGATGTAATTCAGATCACAATCCGGTGGTATGGAGTTCCACAGAAAGGAAAAAACCCTTTCTGTGGAGGATTAATGAAGACTTGTTGGATAAGAAAACGGTAATTGAGATGTTAAAGGAAGAAACGAAACAATTCTTTCAACAAAATTTAAATAAAGAAACACCGATACAGATTGTATGGGATGCTTATAAAGCGGTGATGAGAGGAATTCTCATCTCGCAAAACGTGAAGCAAAAAAAGGAAAAACTTCAAAAACAAACAGAAGTGTTAGAAAAAATTGCTCAGAAAGAAAAGGAATTAAAAAAGAAGCCTGGAAAAAAGCAAATTATTAAAGAATTAAAGTTGCTGAAGGAACAACTGAATGAGACTTGGAATCAGGAAATGTATTGGAATTTAAAGAAGTTACAACAGAAATCTTTTGAAGGGGCGAACAAACCGGGAAAATACTTAGCTTGGCAACTTAAGGCTAGAAGAGAGAGAAGAATGATAACCAAAATAATAGAAGATGGAAAAGAGTTCGTTGATCCTAATGGAATAAAGAGATGTTTCTTCAAGTATTATGCTAAACTATTCCAAACAACTAGAGTTGATCTTGAGAAGATTAAAACATATTTAAAGGAGATTCCACTACCAAAAATAAGTAAGGAATACAAAGATTTATTAAATGGTCCAATTCAAAAAGAAGAAGTGATGAAGGCAATAGAAGAGACAAAGTTGGGGAAGGCGCCTGGGCCGGATGGATTTACAGCGAAATTCTACAAAAAGATGAAAGAAGAAATTTCCCCGGTCCTGGAAGCTTTAACCAACGAAATAAGAGAAAACAAAAAGGTGCCGGACTCATGGAAAGAAGCAATTATTTCTTTGATTCCAAAGGAAGGACAAGATTCAACAAATGTAAAGAACTACAGGCCAATATCTCTTTTGAACAACGATTATAAAATCTTTGCAAAAATTATTGCAGAAAGGGTGAAAAACTATTTACAAACGGTAATTTCTGAAGATCAAGCGGGCTTTTTACCCAAAAGGCAGATTAGAGACAATGTAAGAATAGTAATGGACGCAATTGAATATTATGAAAAGCACCCAGAAAAAGAAGTAGCTTTTCTGTTTGTTGATGCAGAAAAAGCTTTTGACAATCTTAATTGGAATTTTATGCACCAGATGATGGAAAAGATTGAAGCGGGACAACATTTTAGAAATTGTATTGAAGCTATCTATTCTGAACAAAGAGCTAAAATAAATGTGAATAAAGAACTGACAGATAACTTCAAAGTACAGAAAGGAACAAGGCAAGGTTGTCCGTTATCACCGTTATTATTTATCTGGGTATTGGAAATACTTTTACAAAAAATACAGTACGATCAAGAAATAAAGGGCTTGACACATAAAGGACACCAATACAAATATCGAGCATTTGCAGACGATGTAATGTTTATGGTGGAAAACCCAACAGAAAAATTGACATTGCTTTTTCAAAAAATAAAGGAGTTTGGAGAATTGGCCGGCTTTTACGTAAATAAGAATAAAACAAAACTTATATGTAAAAACATGATCAAACAAAAACAAGTGGAACTACAAGAACTGGTACAATGTGAAGTAGTTAAAAAAACAAAATACCTTGGAATTGAATTAACGGCAAAAAATATAGACCTATATAAGAATAATTATGAGAAATTATGGACTAAGCTGACTCAAGATTTTAAGAAATGGGATAAAATGAACTTATCACTGATGGGAAGAATATCAGTTATAAAAATGAATGTCCTACCACGTTTGATGTTCCTGTTCCAAACAATACCAATTCTGCATAAAACGGATTTGTTGGCCAAGTGGCAACAAGAGTTGTCAAAATTTGTTTGGGCAGGCAAGAAACCAAGGATCAAAATGAAAATACTTTGTGATGCCAAAGAAAGAGGAGGTCTACAAATGCCAAATCTTAGACTATATTATGAAGCGGTTTGTCTAACATGGATGGATCAATGGGTGAAGCTTGAAAATGACAGATTGTTGGGGTTGGAAGGGCATGATTGTAGATTTGGCTGGCATGCATATTTATGGTATGACAAGATAAAAATGGACAGTTTTTTTAAACTTCACTTGGTGAGAAAAGCTTTGTATATGGTATGGACAAGATATAAGAAGTACCAGAGTGACTTAAGACCATTGTGGATTGTACCAGTAGAAGTGTTGATATCTTACTCAAGACAGCGAGGTAGAGACTGGTTGCCATATAGAGATTTAATTAAAAAAGAGGGAACAGAGTGGGTAATGAAAAAGCAGAATGAAATTGAATATGAATATGAGTGGTTGAAATATATGCAGATTTATGATCTTTTTAGATCTGACAAAAAAAACTATGGTTTTAGAGAGGAAAAAAATGAAATTGAAAAGGTATGGGAGAGTGGAGGAGGAAAAAATATTTCTAAAATGTATAAGGTGTTGTTAAAATGGTATACTGAAGATGAAACTGTTAAAGAACAAATGTTAAAATGGGCTATTAATATGAATAAGGAAGTAGATATGGAAACTTGGGAATATTTGTGGAAAAACTCTATTAAGATCTCGACATGTACTAATGTTAAAGAAAATTGTTATAAGATGATGTATAGGTGGTACATGACACCTAAGAAGATTGCAAATATGAATCAAAATATGTCAAACAAATGCTGGAAATGTAAGAGGCATGAGGGCTCATTTTATCATATGTGGTGGACTTGTGAGAAAGCTGTAGACTTTTGGACAAAAGTCCACAATGAAATGCAAAAAATACTGAAATGTTCTTTTAAAAAAGCACCGGAAATTCTGCTTTTGGGACTCAAAATGGAAGAAGTCAATACGACTAAAAAAACTTTACTCTGGTACCTGATAGTGACAGCGAGAATGATTTATGCTCAGTTTTGGAAGACAGAAAAGGTACCAGAGGTTGAAGAATGGATACAAAAAGTTCTGTTCATGGCACAAATGGATAAGATTACAAAAAAACTGAATAACAAAGAAGACGATGAGTTTTTTGGAGAATGGAATGATTTTAAAATTTATCTGGAAAAGAACTGGGATGTGAAACAAAACTTAATATGTTTAGATCAATATTAAGTCAAACGATGTTATCTTTAGATTGTAATGATGAAAAACTGATATTGTTGATGATATGAAGTAATTTGGAGCAGGGGTGGAAGCATTGTGGGAAGCCATTGGAGGGAGGGGAGGAACTGGGAATGGGGTAGACAATTGATAGAATGAAATGTTTTATATGTTGTATTCCTGAGAAAATAAAATTTGTTTACCAAAAAAGAAAAATAACATCTCTCTGAATGTCTTTTATTATAATGAGGAATTATAAACAAAATGAAAATAGTAAGAGTCACAGTAGAATAAACTGCTTAGGATTGTGATGACCAGTTTGGAAGAATCATGACAGTTAACTTGAACGCACAGCATGTCGTATGAAATATTCTTTCTAGAGTGTTTTTCAAGCCATTCTGTTTCCCACAATGGCAAACTTTTGCATAGACCCATGCAAATATATTTTAAAATGCATTCTCACAAAGGATGCTGCCAGTTTTGGTTTCTATATAAAATACTTGTTGACAAAGATGTATTTTATTTATTTAGCCTGAAGGCTCTATATTCATAACTACAATCAACAGATCACAGTTGTCTTACATCTTGGGCATTGTGGTTGCTGAGAAAGTATTGGGCATTGTTCCGGCAGGCACCCATGAGTGGGAGAAATTCATAGCTCCTGAAGAGCTGGAGCGGATCCTAGAATCAAGTAAGTATTAAATCCAAAGAGATGCAACACAACTACAGCTCTCCTTCAAGTATAGCTGCCGATAACCTTGACATAATAGAGATGTGGTCAGAAAAATACATTGTTGACAGTTATCTTGTAAATTGAGAGAGATCCTTAAAGAGCAGAATGGTTTGGACAAGAGCTAAGTGGATTGCAGATTGTTTGCTGGAGGGACACAGTTAAACCTCTCCCAGAAAACACAGCATTTTAACTTTATATGAAATGCAGAGAAACTTGTTCTGAGCTCCATTGGAAACATTTCAGCATTAAAACAGCGTTTAAAATAAGGTATATATACAATAGCAAGTGGAAACCCACAAGGACTTGCTGGAGACTTGCTTCTCCCTTCCCCACTATTTTCTCTCCCTTTCCTGAAAGCCCCCATAGCCTCTCCTCTTTTCCTGCTTCCTTCTCTCCTTCTAGGGTTGTCAACCTCTAGGTGGGGGCTGGCGATCTCCTGGAATCACAACAGATCTCCCAGCTACAGAGATCAGTTCCCTGTTAGGGTTGACAGCTCCAGGTTGGGAAATCCCTGGAGATTTGGGGGTGGAGTCTTGGGAGGGTGAGGTCTGGGGAGAGAAGCAACCTCAGCAGGATATAATGCTATAAAGTCCAACCTCCAAAGCAGTCATTTTCTTCAGGTGAACTGTGACATCTGGAAAACAGTCCCCCCCCCACCCCAGTAGCCTCTTCTGTGGCCCAGTTGTGTAGTGCCAGCTTCTGGGCCAGGCCTACTTTCATGGGAGGGAACCTTCAAGGACTTGTGGGGGGTACCTCACTTTCCCCAGTATCCTCTTCCCCTCACTATTTCTTCTTTTTCTCTTCCTGGCACACCCCACATCCCTCTTCCCTGCCTCTCCTCAGCCATTCACCATAATCATCCAGTGAGCTTCCACAGCAACATGGGGATTTGAACCTCGGTCTCCCAAATCCTGTTCTAAAACTCTGAGTTCTACACTACACTGGCTTTCATAGGGTGGCTGCTGTTGAACAGTAGCTAAGCCTAGTTGAGTCAGGCAAGTCAAGTGCTAACACGTTGCTAAGAGGTTGCTTCCAGGCCTAGGATTGCCAACCTCCAGGTGGGACTGAACTCCAGACAACAGAGATCCACCCCTCTGGAGAAAATATACTTTTTTGGAGGGTGGACTCAATGGCATTGTATTTGGCTGAGGTCTCTCCAGTCCCCAAATCCTGCCCTCCTCAAACTCTGCTGTACATTTTCCAGGAATTTCCCAACCTGGAGTTGGCAACACTAGTCAGGCCTGGCCCCAATGAGTCCCCTGTCAGAGACCAAAAGGCGTGGAAAGGGCCATGCCTCCTCCCCCTGCCTTTTATTGACAGAACCAAACTTGGAATATTGGGTTGCCCGGCAACCGTCATTGAGGGAGTTTGCTGCTTAAAGCTACAGATCTTTTAATCATTTTTGCGGTTTTTAACCCCCCGCACAAGATGTGTGTTTTTTCTTCTTAGATTTCACATTTTTACATTTTCCTGCAGACCAGGGGCCCTTTTCAGGTTTGTAGAAAGATCTGTCTTGCCCATTCTCAATTCCAGTCATGAGATTTAAGTATCCAAAGATTTGGCTAACTTTGCTATTAGATTTGGTAAAAGCATATAAACATACATAACACCTAAAACTAGGAAAGAGGCCAGTGACAGTTACTGAGGATATGCCAAACAGAATAAAGTCGTCACCCACGGCTGGAAGACAACAATAGCAGGAAACAAATCTTCCTGGGGAGGTAGTTCCAGCATTTTGGTGCCATGATCAAAAAGGCCCTTTCTTGGGTTGTCACTCATCTAGCCTCGGATGGCAGGGGTACCTGAAACAGGGCCTTCAAAAGTGACCAAAGTGGATGGGTAGGCTCGTATGGGAGAAGGAGGTCCTTAGGATATTCTGGCCCCAAGCTGTATAGGGCTTTAAATGTCAGCACCAGCACTTTTAAATTGGGCCTGGAAACCAATTGGGAGCCAGCACAGACAGAACAAGACTCTAGTGGTGAGGTCCCTACAGCCCTCTCTGGTCCACATACTGGCCACAACATTCTGTACCATTACATTTGTGTACAGTTTTGAGTGTTATACTGTACTCGGGAAGCACTGTTATTGAATGGTTTGATGGCTTTAAGACCTGTGACCTGTAGTGCTAACAAGTTACCAGCTGGGGAGGGGCAAGCTGACCATTCGGCCGGTCAAGGTTGCAGGGAGTTTCACAAGTGCAGATAATTACAGTTAAGCCCTTTGCCAATGGCTGCTTCTCTCCCTCCTCTTGCAGATGGTTTTTCAGTCAAGACAGTGAAAGGAATGTTGTACAACCCTCTCCTTGGATCCTGGAGCTGGATTAGAAGCACTAGCATTAACTATGCCCTCCATGCTGTGAAATCCTGTGCACAGGAACAGTCAGGTCCAAGTGAACCACCTCTGGAGACACACAAAGCACAGCTCCAAACTGAAGCTAGTATTGGAAGTGGTTGTTGAGACAGGTGGCATGTTGGAAGTTGGAGGAAGAGTTGCATAAAACAGCCGTAATAATAAACAAGCAAAGAAAGAAATGCCTTGTGTTTATAATGCTGGATGTCAAAATGTGTCTGCCAGCCTGTTCCAGAGCAGTCTGGAAGGAGAAGAATTGTTCTTTCTTTGCAGTAACAAATGAACAAAGCACATTTGGGTTATCTTGGATAAGAAATCAATTGTGTACCTACTGGTCAGGTATTTGGAGAAGTTGCTAGAAGAGACTGGCTGTTCATGGACTGGTTGTTTTTAAATAAAATGTGTGCTGCCAGGTTTTTAAAGAATAATCTTTTATGTTATGAAAGAGCTTTTTGGAAGTTCTGGCATAAAATGCAATAATTTATATCAGCATATGTCACTCATCCAAATTCACCAGCTTCTCTATTATTTAAACATGGGTTGGGGGCAAAACCTCTTATTTCTCACATGGCATTAATTCTGCACTTCACCACTGAATATAGTAGCATAGCTAAATGCTTGGCTCAATGTAAGAATTGGACTTTAGGGTGCAGATGAAATCAGAGCTGTTTAACGTGCACATTCTCCTTTCATTGTCATGTAAATAGGAGTATATTATATTTACCTGAAAAGACTACCCCTAATATTTGATCACATCCCCCAGGGCCGGTGTCAGGCTTTTTTGCACCCTAGGCAAGGCTAACTACTTGCCCCCCCCCCCCCCCCACACCACATTTTCACAAAAAAATTATTATTCTAGGGAAAATTAAAAGCACAAAACTTGACATTGCTAATTTTTTAAAAAAATTGTGAGAATAAGTAAAATGACAGCCTTTGGTTTTCTTTCTCAAACAGAAAACAGTTTTAGCACACAATTCACCAATAATTTTGAATAATCCTGTGAATTGTGATTTGCAAAATTAAGGCTCTTGAATGTTTCCATTTCAGGCACATCAAATTCTTATTTTGTGTGCCTTTTCCATTGCAAATCTTGTCACCAATTCCTTCAGGTCAAGTGCTGATGCTTCAGTGTGTTCAACTGATATAACTGCCAAACCAAATAGTCTCTTTTGCAGCAGTAGTTCTCCTACAGTTTTCTCAGTTTTGCAATTCTTGATGTCAGATTTGTGTCCATTTACCCTTTGGTGTAGGGTTTGACCTGTTTGTCCTATGCAATTTACATATCCTACTGTGTTGTTATTCCAGTCTTGCTGTTTTTATTGCTATGTTACTTATTCATCTTGACTCTAATCATCTCTTCCTGACAACTAACCCCCCTACCCACATGTAATATTTGAGGAAATCTGTTTCAATGTATGTGAGGAAGTGTGCACATGCTAAGAACATAATAACATAAGAGAAGCCAATGTTGGATCAGGCAATGGCCCATCCAGTCCAACACTGTCACACAGTGGCCAAAAATACCAGGTGCCCTCAGGAGGTCCACCAGTGGGGCCATGATACTAGAAGCTCCCCCACTGTTGCCCCCCCCCCAAGCACCAAAAATACAGAGCATCACTTACCCCAGACTGAGAGTTCCTATCTATTCCTTGTGGCTAATAGCCACTGATGGACCTCTGCTCCATATGTTTATCCAATTCCTTCTTGCACGTTTTTAAGTTAAAACTTTTTAACCAAGAGCCTGCGGCCGGTTGGAGGGGCGAGAAGGCCATGTCGGGGAGGGGGCTTCTGAGGAGAGTGAGGGGCAGTCGCGCCGTGGTGAAGCGAGGACGGTTGCGCTCATGGCCACCCAGCCCCGCCAGGCAGGACGCTCTTTGGGTAGCCCAAAGGCTAGGGTGGCTCTTTTACCTCAGCACCCCTTGGTGAAGCGAGGACGGTTGTGGGATGAGGTGCAAGGGCGGAGGATGCTGAGAGGGACTGGCGTGTGCCCTGGGTTGACAGTCTTTCTTCGACGTGGGGGGGGTGTCCCCCAGGCCATGGCTGGCCAGCCCTGCTTTGTGTGCCAGGCCCAGGGGCGCCTGGAGGGGCAGCGAGGGTGACTGGGGGGGGATGCCCACAGCATTGGTGTGGAACTGACCAGGTGGTGCGGGGCTGCCTGTTTCTCTTTCTCCTTGTCAGGTGAGCCCCAAGGCAGCCGGAGACAAGGATTCCTGCTCATCATCTGCACCACTCTCGCCATCTTTCTGGCCCTGCTTGCTGGCCTCTGCGCTCTGTGCCCTAGGCGGTGGCCTAGTTGGCCTTAATGGTAGCACCGGCCCTGCATCCCCCTCCCCCAAAGTAATGCTAATTTGGGCACAAAATCTTCCTGCCAGCCCCCTGAACCTTAGCTGCTAGGGGAGGTAGTAAGCCCACCTACCTGCTGGGTCCTGGGAGCTACTCATAATGTATAGTTAGGCCCTTAGTGACACAAGTTGTATCTTTAGAGGCCTCAGCTACTGAAAAATAGTTGGAATTTGGCTCCTTTAATGTACTGGTATTTGAACTGGGAGGTGAGGCATAAAACAGTAACTTGCTTACAGATTCTAGACATGCATCCCTGTGTGTTGTTGGTACTCTATAGACTTCTCTTGCTTGTTGATCTTGGTATGGCATTTAGGCTGTACTTGAGTCATCATGTACTGCTGTGAGAGAGTGTCCAGGGCAGCTGTACACCACTGGAGGTGTTAGGTTGGGAAATACTTTTGGAAACATGCATTACAAAGAGGGAAGGTATTGTATTGATGGTCTTCCTTACAAAGGTGGTTAAAAACCACCTGCTGACTATTTTATTAATATACTTCATTTATACCCCACCTTTTCCCTCAATGAGGATCTAAAAGGGCTTATTCTCCTCTCCTCCATTTTATTCTGAAAACATCTCAGGAGAGATCAGGCTGAAGATTACCCAGCAAGGTTCTTTGGTAGAGTATGAATTCAAACACGGGCCTCCCAGATCTTAGTTTGATATTCTGTACCACATTGGTTCGCTATGAAAAACAGTAACATTGCTTCATGTATTTTATAGACAGCTGTAATAGCATCAAAACTGGTACCTAATCAGCAGAGTTATAGAATTCTTGTGCGTACATGTGTATGCACACATACAATGCAAGATTCCTATTTTTAACAGCTTTGAGTCACTCATCAGTAGGCGCTTGCATGGCAAAGTTTTCTGGTTTTAGAACAGTAAAGGGAATGGGAGAATTCCATGATTATTAATGAGTTATTTTAGAGAATGAAGGCTGTCTTGCAACAGCAGCATTCAAATCCTAGTCTTCAGATTATATAGATAATACAGATAATATAGCTAGCATTTAATAAAACATTTAAGTTCCTTTAAAGACCAAAATAAAATTGGTCCAGTGAACTAAACTGGAACATTTCCATTGGCATCCAGGACTGGCAAAACATATCAAGTCCTTTTATTTAAGGTCTTCTGTGCTAAAAAGGCAATTGACCGTGCTATGACTGATTCAGAACTAGTTTAAGAAAAAGCAGATCATGTGGCAAACGTTGGTGTTCTTTTGAGTCTATTGGTAAACTTGGGTGTAAGGTGTAACAGAAAATCTACCACAGGAACAGGACTGGAATTAAAGCTATATTTTTTGAACCACAGCTAGAGTAGAGGTAATCAGATTACCATCAGGAAACACTTCAGATAGAAAAAAAGTGCTATTACTTTGTACAGACCCTGTGGTATACTTACTAAATCATCCTTGTACCAGTTCATGCCAGTTTCAGTCAATATAAGATTCTATTAATTTGATATCCATTGATTTGTTAATGTTGATTTCTATAATTACACAACAAAATTCCCATAAACATGCTTCCTTTATCCAATTAATATTAATCCCATTCTTTTGAGATTCTTAAATATGCATGATTGAAACCTTTAAAGCTGAAGGCAGGGAACTTCAATCAGAAAAGAAGATGCAAGCTATAAAAGGGCCATTGTGCACTAGATTCCCTTTAGAAAGAAGGAACAAAAGGTTTGTTTGCTTTTGTAAGTATAGGGGTACTGAATTTCAGATTTTGGAAATTCAACGTGGTAACGGGAAATAAATCAGGCATACTAAACAGTTATGAATCTATTTAGCATCCCTCCTGGCCCTATTGTAAAGATGAACAGGATAATTTCATGTATCCCTGTATAAGGTTGGTGGAGTGAGTGGGATATCATTTTATGCACATGTGCTTCTCCAACAGTAACAGTGTTCAGTACTGAATTACCCAATGCCCATTCTTATATCTGAATATGTCCCTTTTGGCTGCAGGCAGCCATTAAGGATACAGGGTAAGGGTAAGGAATTTTAATCCAAAAATGAGTTAGGAACTGGTAGCCCCTGGTCTTCCATGTGATACTGCTTGCATCCCACTAGTTGTCAGCTCCAGAGGGATGTGAATGAGAAAAATATATGTGCCAATGAGCACAAGACGTTGCCTTATACCAAGTCATACCACTGGTCTACCAAGGTCAGTAGTGTCTACTGAACAAAGTTTGAGTCCAGTGGCACTTTTAAGACCAACAGAGTTTAATTCTGGGTGTGGTGGAATGTGCCTGCTCTGGCCTGCAGGCCCTGTTCCACCCTGCCTTCCTAGATTTTTCTCAACACCTGGAGAGGCTTTTCCTTCACCCTTGAGTAGCTCACCACCACTACCTAAACTTTTGACATAATTTCCCACAGGGAGGTTCAGGTCTCCCAGCTTCCCTTCCAAGATCTGAGGCCTTGCCTCTGTGTTCCCTGCTGCCCAGCACCAGGTCACCATGGGGACAATTTACAGCCTTGCACGCCCCTGGAGCAATAGCCATTTGCCAACTGCCTGCCTTCCTGGTGCTCCATTTAAAATAGTGTGTCCGAGATGGTGCAGGTCTATGTGGTACAGAGATCTTCTTCCAGCATCCAAAGTTATAAAGTATTTATTAAAAAGAAAATGTTTACAAGCATACTTTTAGTACAGCACCAGACTGAGCAAGGGATTCCAAAAGAAATTGGTAAAGCACAAATCCCCTGTCCCTTTCTCTATACATGCCTGATCAGCTGTTTACATAGGACAGGCTCCTAAAGCTTAGGGAGTTACAAGTCTCTATAGAGTTACCATTACCTCGAAGCTTGTTGTAGCTCTCTGGGCGAGCACATAGTCAATGGCTGTTTTGTCAGTGGAGAGGAGGTCTGTGTGCTCTCAGAGACGCAGCACCCAAGGTAAAGAGACCTCCTCCTTCCTGCTAGGAGTTTTTATCATATCTGTTTCTCCATCCACTGACCCAGTCACACAAGGTCAAAGAGCTTTCCCTGGAGATCTCTAGGAGTCTCCTCCCTGAAGACACTCTAACAGTTAACACCTCCAACTCTCTGTTCCCTGCTTGGGGAAGGGGGAGAGCCTAGCCCACCCATCAGAAAGGATCATGGGTCTGATTGAATACACTGGCTTTTGTATGTGCCTCTACTGAGATTGGGTCCCACTATAGCCTACATGGAGCTGCGGTGGCTCAAGTGGTTAAGACGCTGAACTGCAGGCTGTGGAAGGTCGGTAGTTCAGCAGTTCAAGACCCGAGTTGCTGCATGACGGAGTGAGCTCCTGTCTCTAGTTCCAGCTCCTGCCAACCTAGCAGTTCGAAAGCAAGAAATTGCAAGTAGATAAATAGGTACCACTTCGGTGGGAAGGTAACAGCGTTCCGTGCGCCTTGGTGTTTAGTCACGCCGGCCACATGACCTCGAAAACATCTTTGGACAGCGCTGGCTCTTCGGCTTGGAAACGGAGATGAGCACCGCAACCCTAGAGTCAGATTCGACTGGCTTTCGAGCAAGGGAACCTTTACCTTTTTTATAGCCTATTAGTTTTGAAAAAGAATTACTCGAAACGCGGCAGATTGCATCCGGACTACGCGTCTCTATGGTTTATGGAATTTTAGAATGTTTGGATTATCCAGGAACTATATGAGTCCACTCCATGATGAATGCACGTCAAGTTGGACTATATCACAATACAACTGGAGTGAGACACATTGAAATTTTTGGGACTTTATTCTTCTTTCTGTATATTTGTTGTTTCTTGCAAGAACACCTTGGCCTTATATAGTTATATTTCTGAATTACTGAACTTGTCATTCAATTTTATCTATCTATCTATCTATCTATCTATCTATCTATCTATCTATCTATCTATCTATCTACCATCTATCTACCATCCATCTACCATCCATCTACCTATCTATCTACCTATCTATCTATCTATCTATCTATCTATCTATCTTCAGCCAGTGTTTTTTTGTGCTTTGTTCCTATTCTTGTACCCTGGTTTCCCTTCTTTTTGGTTTTCTGTTGTTTTCTTTTTAAACAAGCAAAGCAGATTTTGAAAGGCAAAAGCCTGGTGGTTGACCAGGTAAAACCCAATATTGTTTATTCAAGTTTAGCCCCCCCCCCCGCCTTGTCACGTGACGTGGCCCAGGCAAACACAAATAAAGCTGCAGGGATGAAGCAGAAGAGCAACAAACAAGATGAGCCAATAGCACAGAGCCCGCATCACAAGGAGAGGACACTGTATGGTCCCTAAAGGAGCCACCAGCTCGCGCTGATCGCCCCCCTCCCCTCCCCCGCATGCCCAGTTGGCTCTTTCGCGCTAGGTGACGGCTGTCCTTTGCTCCCGCGACTGACCTTCTCTCTCCTCCCACCCAGCCCCTTGTTCTGGGGGCAGAGAGGATGTTCTAGGCAAAGGCTCCCTGTTCCTCCTGTGGGGTGGGCGGGGGGGAGGAGTGCAAATAAGGACTCCTAGGTTTTAGGCAAGCGAGACAGCCATGACATCACCCCCCCGCTTCCTCCATGCGAAGACACAAAGGCGAGAGGCAGCCGCAGGAGAGAAGTGCTGGTGATGATGTTGCAGAGATCGCCAAGGAGACCCGGCCGAGCGACGGCTCTTCCCTTCCTTTTCCCCCTCCTCCTCCTCCGCCGCCGCTAAACTCCCGACTCGCCACCACCTTGACACCGCCCGGTCCTCCTCCATGCAGACGGCCCTGGCTTCGATCGGTGGGCGAAAGGGAGCCAGCAACGCCGGCGTCGCGCAGCATGCACTGGGGGGTTGGCTTCGCCTCGTCCAGGTCGTGTGTGGTGGATCTGAGCCGGAATCAAAGCCTCTGGTGCGCGGGGTCCGACGATCACTTTTCCTTTTATGGGGAGATCATCGCTTTCCCTCTGCAGGATTACGGCGGGATCATGACAGGGCTGGGATCTGATTCGTGGTGGAAAAAAACCCTGTATTTGACGGGGGGAGCCCTGCTGGCAGCCGCTGCGTATCTGCTCCATGAACTCCTGGCCATTAGGTGAGCAAGCCAGTCTTTGGGGCAGAGGAACAGACGCACATTTCGCGGCAAGGGCAACACTGGGAAGGTGCATGTTGTCTCTATTGAGTGCGGGAGGTTTTCGGGGGGTGTGCTCATTGTTGTGGTCGGCCATCGTTCATAGATGGAATGGCGATAATTGTGCGCCCGTGCGCTTTCATTTACACCACCACAGCCAAGGCCTCCATCTGAACCCTGGATCAACCCAGCCCAGGAACAGATGAAAAACCTGTTCTAAAGGGGAGTGCCTCTGATCACATGCAGAGTGCTTTTGTTTCATCACTGCGGCCGGGGGTAGAGACAACTAGGAATTGAAGGTGGGGGCCTCCACCTCTGCAAGCCTGACTTACAGGATAGGGCTGAGCCCCACCACCTTTTAGCTTATAAATGGAAGTGCTCCATGAGCAATGCTAACTCTGATCTGTTATTTATGTTCTTTTACGGCACAACATTCCCACTGGTACTCAGATGAGTGTAGATACAGCCTCTAAATGACCGGCCTTTCAGGATTGGGGTAGTGATGTGGACAGGATAAGTGTGAATTTGCATATGAAAATTATGCTAAAATGCTGGAACAGAGCACTAGGAGGAAGTCATCCAGCACAAGCTCTGTTGAATGAATAAGAGTTCCCCAACAGCTGAGCTCACGCACTTTGGTGGGGCTTGCATGGACAGGCTCCCTGAGGAATAGTGCTACTAAGTTATAGGCTCCTATACCCTAAACACAGAAGCATTTATGCTGTGCAAATAGTGATACACGCCCTTACAGTAATGGGAGTCTGCAGTTACATTACTTGGTCTTCAAAATGGAAATACAGTCAGTATAATAATGAAACTGAAAAGTCTTCAGTTCAATTTTCACTCATTATATGCTTTTTGCCTGGGATATGCCTTTTCTTATAGCCTTCTACTTAATTACACAATATGTAATTAGTAATGTTTTCAAGTGTTCCGATGCTGAGCAAGATCAACCCATGGGTGATGCAGGCCAAAAGCTGAAAAGAAGAGCCATGGCAACACATCTGGTTCTTTAGATCTTACAGTCCTGGACTGTTCCAGTCATTGTTCACAACTGATAGGGCTTTATAGCCAGGAGTTCCTTTTGCCATTTGTTATTCATGCCTAAGCTATTGCACACAATGTCAGGCATACATAATACTATAAAAAAGCTAAGCAGAAGTTCCTATAAGATTGGTCTATGGGGACCCTTGTAGTGGGAGCTTCCAAGGGATGGAAACCCAGAAGGGTGATAAAACTGAGGAATTGATTCGTGTTATGAATCAACATGCAAGGCCAAAGATGCTCAGTTAGCAAACACTAGTAAAGCTTTGGAAGTTGAATGTAATATGTTTTCCTTCATATCTTTTTATGTATTTATTAATCCAGTGTCCTAGCTAAACTTTGAAGTTGTCTGGTCTAGGACCCATGGCTAAATCCACTGACTTCTCTTTTTAAATTGTAAATCCTAATCCCTGATATGAAATGCAATTCGATTGCCAACTTTTGCAGATAATTGCTGTGATCCAATGGGTATGCCCAGAGCAGATAGCTCTTTCAAAACAGCTAATTTTTTTAAAATGTTTTTTTTTTAATTTATTAAAACATGTATCTTCTGCTTTTCTCTCCACCCATGGAGATTCAAAGATTACAAACCAATATGTGAAATCCTACTGCTCAGCTGTGTGGTAGGAAAACAGGGGCAGGAGAGAATGAATCCAGCAGTACTGCCTTTCCCTAACAGTTGAATTGTGAGGGTTTTTTTTAAATACTCCACAGTTGCAACATGGAAAGGGGAAGCACACATGCAGGTTCCATCTTTGAACGTGGTTGTTCTCCCAAGCAGATGTTTCAGCCATTTGGGTTTTTGAAGACCCTAACTCAGTGTTCCCCTGAGTAGTGTCCAGAGACAATGTTGTGGTTCTCAACGGGGCCAGTTCCAGGTGTTTAGAGTGCTCAGTTCCCGCACCACCTGCCCAGTACCAGGACCTTCACTCACACCTCCCTTTCTGCTGCTACCCACATTCTTCACATCTGCTTGCGCTTCCTTCCTCTGACTTCTCACAACCCCTCCCATCTCCCATACTCACAGCCACCTGCATGCCCTTTCTTCAATGGCATTGGGCAGTCTATGTGGCTCGGGAGTGCCACTGCTGTGATCATAAGGACCACTGTTTGTATCACCTGCACACTTTCTCCTGGTGAAGCTGGTCAGCCTAGTTAGCCAGAAGCACAGAAAGTAGAATAGTTGCAAGTGTGTGGGTGAAGGAAAGGGAGTGGGGGCAAGTGGCAGAAGAGTGGTGCAGGCAGAGGTCAGTGTCAGTCGGCTCTGCCCTGCCAGAAACCCTGAGCCCTGGCAGATGCTCCTTCTCAAGGTAGGCTGTCTCAAGCCCTGCCTGTCAGGGTGTTTCCTGGCACTCAATCACTTCTTGAGTCTTAGGGATAAAACCCGAAGAGTCTTGAATGGAACAAGAAAAGAGATAAACAAACGACCCAGGGAATGTCAGTTTGCTCTTACTATCAGAGTGCTGAGCTTATTCTGGGAAGGTGTGTCACAGCTTTACACCCTTGGCTTAACCATAGACACCAGCTTAGGATAGAAAACAAAGAAGATGACTCATGCCTGGAAAGATCTGTCTCTATGTTTACCCCCACCCCACACGTAGTTGGTACCACTTTCAACAGTACTTTAGGTAACTGTGGCTGAGTGCATTAATGCCAATACAAAACCCAGGCATGTATCCAAGATGCAAGTCAAGCCCAGAACATAGTCGTAAATGGACAAAGAATGATATAATTGGGATTCTGTTTGGAACTTGTAAGCTTTCTGTGTATAAATTATGGATAAACCACACAGTAGTTCTGAGAATCAGATATACTTCTGAGTGGTTTAAGATTCTAAACACTGAAACATGTAAAGCAATGGATAAAGAACTGAACCTAGATAAGAATGACCAGTCTGGACTAAGACCAAGGAGCTTTCATCTTGCTCACTACTGAATAACTCTAACCAGTTTTCTTTTTCATTGCCCCAGTCCTCTTTTGGGAAAAGCACAGCAAGCTGTACATGCTCTGAAGAGCTTCCTGAACTGGTCCATGGTTATTTCCTCTTCTGAGAGTTAAGCTACCTTTTTGGTTGCCATGGCAACAGACAACCAGAAATGGTGGGTGGATTGTTGTGAGGAGAAAGAAAGAATTCCACAGAGTTTGGGAACTGGAATGCCTGGCTTGCCATGTTGTTTTTAAATGAGTTCTGAGGAACTGAGGGTATAAATTTAATAATCTCCTTACAACTCTTGGATGTGGACAACAGTTGTGCACCAGTAGGCAGTTTGCTGGGCACTAGGAGGCTACCAGTGGGAAGGGCAGGAGGTTGCCACCCCAAAACTCAGCCTTAGATAGCAATAGAGTTGGTTCTGGATTTAGATTTAGAATATTTATCTAATGCAGTCACAGCTCATTGTTCTTTATGTCTGATTTACAGTGTTATCATAGAATTTTAATGTTGTCATAAGAATCCATTTTGGAGCTTGTAAGTATTGTTTCCATAAGTGAGCATCCTTCCTTCCATTTCCATTTTATATATAGCATGTAGGCATTGTAGATGTTAAATGAATTACAGAACAGTGCTAAGCATAATTAAACTCTTCTTAGCCCATTGATTTCAAAGGACTGAGAAGGGTGTGACTCTGCTTAGGACTGCCCTGTGAGGCTGCAAACCTACATGTGCTTTCTTGAGAGTAAATGCCACTGAATGCAGTTGGATTTACTTCCATGTAGAATTGGAAACGAATGGGGATGCAGTGTGCTTCATGGATCAAAGCATGGGAGGGGCTGCATAAACAGTTTCTGTGCAATATGATGTGGCGATTATTGTTAAATAAAGTGATTGTGCACAAGAATAGGTGTGTTCTACATAAAAGCCAATATGAATGTGTGTCTTTCAAAAGGCACAACTCAAGCCATTTGCAAAAAGTTCCCTTTAACGTCTTTAAAAGACAAAGGCTCTGGGCCTTATGAGCCTTGGAAACAGCTAAATGCATATTTCTTCGAAAGTGAAAAGTAATAGTTAAGCCAGTATTGAAATATGGGCTGAAGCAATGTTAAACTTTGAAGTCAAAGATAAAACTGCCTTTTATAGACAAGAAACAAATGTGAAACATTTGCTCTTAATTTGTCAGTTTTATTTGGACATCAACATAATGTGTATATTAGGTTGTATACAGTATTTGATTATAGGGTTCACAGGCAGGGCTTGGCAACCGGCATGAGGGTCGTGTGGGGGGGGGGGACTGTATTGTGCTGTGAGATTAACATTTTTTTTTTTAAAGCAGCCTTGTGTACTTATTGGAAATTCATAAGGAAGTGACAAGGGGTAGCTCTAGGAATATCCAGAACTTCTGGGGTAGCTCTAGGCTTGCCAAGTCCCCCCGGGGGCGGGGAAACCCCCGCCCGAGAGGCCCGTTACCCACCGCCGGCAGATCGGGCCCCGGGGGGAACCCCACCCCCAAAGCACGCGACGTGCCCGGCGTCAGCACGTCACCCGGAAGTGACGCAGTCACGTCGGGGGCATTGGGGGCGGGGCCGCAGTCATCCGAGGGGAAACTCTATGGTTTTCCCTCAGATGATTGTGGCCCCGCCCCCGGCGTGCCCGATGTGGTTGCGTCACTTCCGGGTGATGTAATCCCAGAGCAGCGCGGGACACCCCCACTATACCTACGGTAAGGACTTTGCAACCCTAACTAGCTCTAGGAATCTCCAGAAACTCTATGGTAAAAAAACATAGTGCTACCCTGGAAGTAGGGTTAGGAGGTCCTCCCTGGCCACTGGCACGGGGGAGAGGGTGAGACTGCCAGCTCCAGGGTAGGGAACTCCTGGAGATTTGAGATAGAGCCTGGGGAGAACAGAGACCTCAGTGGAGCACAGTGCCATAGAGTCCACCCTCCAAAGCATCCATTTTCCCCAGGGGAATTGATATCTGTAGT